CAATTTTAACAGTCTTTGAATTAACCTATATAAGTCTTTTGTATGCCAGATGATATTTATACGGAAATTTCGTTACTATGCAAAAAGTATTGATATGTATGTGGTCGACGCAAAGTTTCGAGGATGATAAAATTTTTAACAGTGTTAAAACGCATCGTTTAGTAAGTAACGCAATTATTGGTAAACCAACATGGTATCCTGTATGTAAAGGCTAACGCGCGTAACTGAATTACTCATCGTCCCTCGTTTTCGTTAGGAATAGAGCGTTCGGACTTCTATTTATGATCGACTTTGTGTATCAAAGTACTCAATTTTCCTCTATTTCAAAGGTTGTTTAGAGTGAGCGACTGTGTTATTTATTTTAGTTTAATAATATTTTAGAGGATATTTAGAATATACTTTCTAACTAAATAAACTATCGTTGGATAAACTTTCGCTGTTTTTCGATTTCGAGTATCAACTTAATTTTATAGTACATTTTTTTTTAATTTTGTTCCAAGTTAGCTTTTAACACATTTGTCCATAGCAATTGCTTTAACTTTGTTTGTTTCACAACAATGAAATAAATATTTTAAAAACATTGCTCGCTTCGTAGACGAGTGCATTACTTGAGATTTCCATCTTTCTTCAATAATTTTGCTGTTGAAAAAATGGTAATTTTATTGTAAATCAACCTGTTAAGATTAAAAGAATTTGTGTTATATTATGCCTTATTCTACAAATTGAGAACATAATTTAATGTTTAAAAATCATATTTTATTTTAAATAAATTACTTTATACGGAGGCTTAATCCATAAACTTTTGACCCAGAGAAGGCCATCCAGAAAATATTTGGTACTTGTTAACATAATATATCAAATATATATGTATTAGAAAAATTAAAATATTTATTATACTATAATTTATTAAATTTTCTTCTTAAAACATATTACATATACCTATTAATCGTAATAATTTTCAATAATATGTTACATTTAATATCCAATTTAAATCTGCTGGCTGTTGCGGTCAGTATCAGTATTGGATATCAAAAGGCTCGTATAAGTGAATTACCCTCGGATAGTTTACATCTGGCGAACATCGGTTTGGCAACGCCTCACGGTTGTTGGCGCTTTGCGCTAACGCGGTTTTTCGTTTATGGATTACCCATACATAAATAATAAAGTCGAATTATTAAATATATAATATTATTATATATAAAATTAGCGCAATAGCAAATAAATCGTTTTTATAACTATAAATAAGTTTTTATATTATATAAATTGCGTGAGTGGTTAAAAATGTCAATGAATCATCTTTACACCTACTTTAATGAGAAGTCAGCTAAGTTTTAGAATTGTAAACACTTAAATAAGTAGTAAGTAATTTAAATACAAAATATTATTTTTTATTGTACTAATTTGCAACTTCGAACTAATTATAATGATGAGAATAATTATTAATTATTTTTTTTAAAGTGCCTAAATATTTTATAGTAAAACTATATATATTTATATATCAGACCAATAACAAACTAGTAGGCACTAAGCTTTTTTTTACTTGATAGTTTATATTTCGAATTTAAATTGATTTGATGATTATCATAAAACTATTTCGTGTTACTATGGATTTAATATTATGAATTATTTTATCTTAAAATAGTTTTATAGTTTTATGTTGAACACAAATATATTATAAGGTTTACAATATTTTTTTTATAATAAATGATACTCTGAATATACTGGTTCACAAACTATTGCCTTACATTTGATACTTGTGTTTCAGTTTATCGGATATCAAAAGGCTATATGTAATTAACTCTTGAATGGTTTACATCTTGATGATATCGCTTTGGCAGCGCTTTCCCACTCTCTGTCGCTAAACATGGCTATTCCTTGAAAGCTTTAGTTGATTTTCATTTGAGTCCAACTAGATAAAATTTATAGAAAAACATAAATCTAACAGAATCTTAGAATAACTATGGCTGTTACATCACTTGGAATCCATGTTCATTTCAATGCATACCGTCTACTATAAATTACACGAATAAAAATATACTTATATGAAAGTTAGATTTGGATTTTTATTCATTTGCTCATTAATAATATTCAATAAAATTATAAATCCCAAAAAAAAAAGTCGGTTTGTTTTTTCTTTTTACATGATATCCACTCATCGATGGTTTTGTCCATTTTTTTCATAGATACCTTGTGGGTTGTATGATGAATACTTCATCGTATTACCGTTTATATTAACGTATCTTGGTTTGCGAGTGGATATTGTAAATTACTACAAAAATATAGTTAATATTGCATAAAAGCGTGGCTAAAGTTATGGCGGTCATTTATACATATGAAGAAACTAAGTTTTGCTTACGAATCTGTAGAAATGATATAAAAATAATTTTAATTAATAAACTAGAACTGTGTAATGGAAACGTAATTTTTAATTTGAACACATGGTAATAATACCCACAATTAATTTTGCAGTGTGATTACAAGTAATAAATAACCGTCGCAGATGGTAATGATAATGTTTCACTTTCAGCAGAAGAATTTATTCAACGTTTATTTAGCTCGTTTAGATTGCTAATTTACCTTTCCCATATGATACACAATTTCTACTATGTAAATACGAAACGGTATATCCCGGAAACCCTTTGAAATATTCAATTTAAATAGCAATATGCTTTTACGATGATACATGGTATTATACACTTTGTAAATTCTAACAAATAAAATATAGAGAATGAAATATATATTTTAATAAATTAAAAATATAATAAACCCCCTACGCAAATTAATTGTTATTTAGCGATTACACTGGCACGTGTGAAGCACTTAATCAAGTAATCATATGCCAAAATGTCTTAAATCATTTTGGAAAAGAGCTGATACTCTTGCACTGCTGGACCAATATTAACCAAACATAGTTAAGAACCACCGCAAGGAAACTCGGCTTTCAAATGAAAAAAAACCGCATCGAAATCGGTCCATCCGTTTGAGAGCTACGATGCCACAGACAGACACACACACAGACAGACATCGACGTCAAACTTATAACACCCCTCTTTTTGCTGCGAGTGTTAAAAACATTAACCAGCTACACAAGAGATTAGTTTGATTACAATAGCTAATAGCTTAATACTAGCATATTTTTAGTTGTGGATAATATTCAGTAAAACTCCAGAAGCAAATGCTAATATTGTTGCAAACTATATATATTTGTAGTCAGGAAACTGTGAGAAACTTTAACACGTTTTAATATTACAATAAGTTTGCTATCGGAAGTAACCCGTGTTTTGCAATACTTATTACTATACTAGTTGTTGCACGCTGCTTCTTACACGTAAGCTTTCTCATCTCCTGTCCATATTAAACTTCAAACGCAATTTCTATGAAAAATTACTCTTCATTCCCGCGGGACCTGCAGCTTTTTTTAGAATAAGATGCAAAATAAATTACATTATGCTGAATTATAATATCTGTTTAATCGTAACTATTGCTGTGATGTTTTTTTTTCTTTTTCGAGATAATAATATGTATGCCAAGCAAATATAAGGTAAAAATCACATCTATACAAATCTAATAATAGGTTTTAGGAATTTTCATGCAAAGTTCCATCTTTTATCGTGCAGTATCATTTTCTGTCCTGGTATATGGTTCTTTATAAGTCGTATTCTTAATGACGTTTTGATAAAAAATAACTTGACGTTGTCTTAGACTATCTCTCGTAGACAGATAAGTAGAGTAACCACTTTTTTGATTTTCTCCAGATTTTGAGTAGGTACTTGGAAATATCAAAGCAAAGCAAATTCGATTTGGATAGAATATTCATATTTATATACATTTATATGTGTGGTAATAATAAGCTGGTAATGATAATAAGTACTTTTCACTTATTTTCCATTTACCACCTAGAGAAGTTATATCATACTAGCGGGTTCGTTGCTAGGTACCAACAGTATATTATAGGTATAAAATAACTTAACTGTTAACTGCCTCGGCGGTGTAGTGGCTAGCATGTACGGCTGCACACTCGGAGGTCCTGGGTTCGAGTCCCGGGTCGGGCCAAGTTTAGTTATTGAGTCTTTCTGTATAGTAAGTCTCAGTAGCAGCCCGGAGTTGGGAAGTTGGCGGTATTTCACCCCCGTGCCTCGGAGAGCACGTAAAGCCGTCGGTCCTGCGCCTTAACTCTCACTGGTCGTGTCGAGCAGTCGTCCCACCGGAGTATAAGAGTGACAGGAATAGAGAGTGCACCTATGTCTGCGCGTACACTTGTGCACTATACTATCTCCTGCGCAGTTGGCTAGTCTTAATGAGATTGGCCGCCGTGGCCGGAATCGGCTAGGAGAACATCATCATCATCATCATCATTATAGGTATATAGCTTTCACAATTATAATGGTAATCAGATTTGAATACCGTTGCGTCGATTTGAAAAAATATTTCTCACGTCATATTTACATTATATAATAATATCTGGTCGATTTGTACCTACTATTTAATATTATCGTATTGATTTAAAACGTTGTGTAAGTATTTAAAATCTGATGAACTGATCTGATCATAACTAGGAGTCCATCTACTAGAAGTTTTTAATTACTTCTAATGAAAACTTCGAATTGAAATTCTTTTGATTAGTTTTGATCATGCTATTTTTAGTACTAACTAGCGGCTCACCGTCGTGTCGCTTTGCTCGGATTCGCCTCTAGAAGTACGAAAACAAATCTATCCCACGGGAACCGTACATTTTTCCGGGATAAAAAGTAGCTTATGTGTTATTGCAGACTATAATTTATCTTTGTGCCCAATTTCATCTACATCCGTTCAGCCGTTCTGGCGTGAAAGAGTAACAAACATCCATACTCACAAATATACTTCACATATCTACTATACTACTATATATAATATATTTCACATATATACTCGTAATATTAATACAGATTTTACGGTAACATAATTATAAACAGATTCATAGATTAGAGAAATGATAAAGTAATTTATTATGCTTTCTTTAGTGACAGACAGCTACGTTGGTACTACACTTTCGCTGAAAAGCCTTAAGAGGACCGACATGGGAACTTACCTTTGTATCGCCGCTAACGGCATCCCACCTACGAAGAGTCGACGTTACGAGGTCTCCGTATACTGTAAGTTTTATTTAAATATTAAAGTAATAATTAAGTGATATTAATTTTCTAATAGGTGATTTACAATAATGATTCATTTTTTTATTATTATTAATCTTAAAAAAATGGATTTCAAAATATAATTTAGTATTATAGGATTGATCATTGCTCTAGTCTAGGTAGATGTTTCACAAAAGGAATAACGGAATACTTGTATATATCACATAAAATTTTTCTTCTCTTCGGATGGAATACTGTATACTTAGAATAAGCTCATCAATAGGATCTATAGCCCAAATTAGTGAGAAGAGAAGAGTTAGTGTAAAGTGTAATTTTGGAGGTCATCCTAGAAAATTAAAAAAAAATATCGGTGGGCCTATTATGTGACATATTATGAAAAGAGCTTTATGGGAAATACAAAAATATATTTTTTGGATCCATGCAGTTGAAAATCTAAATTAAATTATTTAATTTTTTAACTCAACGTTGTGTGCAACAATAAAATTGCAACTATTAAATAAAGTACATATATACACTATAGCTCAATTTTAACTTAACATTGTAATAAATAATATAAATATTAGAAATCCCTTTTTTATTAACTTCAGTTTATTGTTTTTTATTAACCCAGTTGCGCCGATAGTTCAAGTTGTAAGCTTGATTGTATGGCGTTCAGCGGACATGCAAGTCACTTTGCAATGCTACGTGGAAGCGTCACCGAAGGCACTCACAATGTGGCAGCGAGGGAAATCACAATCGGGTAAAAGCTTTCATACTTTTTTCTTAATTTCCGTATACATACCGTGTGAGATAAAATTTGATGTTCGAAAAAAATGCTCTATACGATATTCCGAATTTCAATATATTCTGATCAACAGTTTTTTGTGGGTTTATGGGTCATATGGAAATAGCAGTATTTACTTTAAAATATATAACAAAAATCTATCTATAAAAGTGAAATAAAATGATCATTTACAAAGCCAAAGCGTATTATGCTAAGTGGCTATTCGGAGCTATGTAATATGATTTGACTTAAGAACTTACTATCCAAAGAAGTTCAAATAGTGTCCATCCAATTTTCTGACCCAAGGTTCTAATTCGATTCTTGGTAATGTTCATATTAAATAAAAGCATTTTCTTGGATTTAGGCAACCTTTTATCTACTTTGAATATTTTATTTTAAATCTTTGAAATTTCAATATTAACATTAGGTATGTAAAAGAATATAGGTAAGCTATTAAATAACGTATTTTTATTTATTTCTTCCATAGGTGCGAAGTTATTAAATAGCTCAAAATACATCATATCTGAAGATTATCTGAATGAATATGCAATGCGTATGAATTTGACGATAAACCGCCTAAAGAGAACTGACTTTGGAGAGTACACTTGCGCTGCAAGTAATGCTTACGGGAAAGCTAATGCTACCATACTCCTTAAAGGTTTGTATTGTTTCTTGAATATTTATATTTAAAACTTAAATTTTAGTATGCTTTATTTTTTATATCAGATTTTTTAATAATACGATTATATTAAAACAAATGTGACAAATAACTAATGACATTTCTAATCTCTATTTCAACAGAGACGCCGCAGAAAACAACAACAACAACAACAACGACGACAACAACAACGACTACGACGACAACAACAGAGCGCACGACAATCGCAACAACACGGCCCCCCAAACGCCACAAGAGCCAAGACAGAAATCAGAATAGCCTCGATTTATCATATATGAATTTCAACTTTTACAACACAAACGCTTACAGTCCAGCGAACAACAGTCATAATGAATACGCTCAAAGGACTGAGAAGCAGAAAGTGCGCCCTTCCGGTCCCCCTCGCTTCTACGTTTACAACAACGCCGCTACATATTACATGCATGCTTTTCACTTTATAGTAATTTTATCCATTGTATAACTTTTTTTTCGTTATATTGTACATTGGGGTCACGTCTGCGCTCAAAATTCAACAATTAAATAGTTCATATTTTAAAAATCTTACCTGCGACAAAAATCTTAGAATGGTTTGAGAATATGAAGGACTTACTCGGTTACCGGATTCATATTATAAAAATAAAATTAATTTAAAATGTTATTTAATATTTATAATATAACAATTAATTATTTTAAAATGTTATTTATTAATTATTTATAAAGCTAATATTATTTGTAATAATTAATAAACAATAAATAACAGCAACCTATTTAATAATATTGTTAAAATTTTATACCAATGAATAAGAATGAAAAATCATTGAATCGAATAGACATTAACAACAAAACTAATAAATAAATTGTTAAAATTATCTTTATTTACAAGAATGAAAAAATCAAAGGTGAAATAAAATCGAAAATTTTAAATACATTTTGTAATTAAGGTTAATCGATATATCGATATAAGCAGTGGGCTATAGCTAGTTTTTTTATTAATTTCCTATTAGGTGATAAACAATGGCTGTTGAATTTTTAATAATTGAAAATTGTTGTAAGCTGTAGTCTATACAAGTACATTCTGATGTTAAGATTGTTAAGTAAATCGTAAATGGAACAGTCGTTATTCACTAGTAGTATCAGTTTTAATATAAGAATTATTTAAGTGCTTGTTATTTATCATTAGTTCATTACCAGTAAAAACTGAAATTTACATATTTTTATAAAAGAACTCTTTTAATCGCAAGTTTTCAACATTTGATAGAGCAGCATTAATATTCAACAGTCTTTTTTATATGTTTCCCACGAAACGATTATATTTAAAATATTAATGCACAAAACTTATACTTTCGATAACAGCGAATATTGTATGCTCAGATAAATGAAAAAAATAATTTAGTATTACTCATTATTTATAGAACTCCTTCAGAGTGGACTGCGGTAGTTATTTTGTAAAATGACAATAAACACTCTTAGAATTTCTAATGAAGTAATTTAAAATCATTATATTCATATACAAGATTAATGCAAACATTTTCATTAACAGAATATCGAAATTGTCATATCACGTAATATCTACTAAGTACATAATATCATTTCTAAATCTATAAAAGTACAGTTTGGCAATGAATTATCACATTTATAAAAACTTTTAGTTTTATTTTTGATGATACATTATTTTTGTAAAATAAAATATATGATAAGGTAATTATTGTGTAATTAATAGAATAATCAAAATGATGAGAGATTAAGGCAAGATGCCTTGTTAAGTATTATTCTGATGAATATATGTATACTCATATAAAGAAATAACTGTAAAAATAAGAATTTAGCTGTATTTTGTACATGACAATATACGATTGTAAAGACAATAATAGAGACCAACATAAAAGACGAGGGCAAGTATATTTGTGTAATGTGTATAAAAGTTTATATTTGTGTAATAAGTATCTACTATTATTTAATCGGAATTAATATTCGATTTATTATATTTAAAATCAACATAGAAGTGTATTTTAAGTATTTTATATGCAATGATAGTAATAAATACCATAATTTGTTTAGGAATTTTAAGTGATTGCTTTTTAACATAATAATATTGCTTCTGTTATAATGTTTAGAGAAGTTCTTGTTTTTTTTATTGATTAAATCAATAAATGTTAAAGGTTAATTTCAACCTAACTATAAAATGCAAATATTAATGTTACAGTTGGACTATGTCATAATTTTAGATTAATAAATTCTACATTTCGATAATAAATACCTAATAAATTTGTCTTCCGTATAGTTATAAAATGTATTTGGGCTCATTTATAGCGAATGAGCAGAAATTTTTAGCTAGCGAAGTATCTTTTGAACTTCATACAACGTAGATAAATAATCGTATATAAGTAACGAAAAGAATTTATCGTAGAATTAGATTAATGTTTTTTTTAATAAACCGTATGTCCTTTTCGATGCTAATATAATTTTTTTTTTAATTTATATTTAAAACAGTAAATTTATAATTTTACAGGATTAAAATGTACATACCTAATTATATAAAAGTTGACAATAATTGTTATATGCTACAATTTCATTTATGTAACTGTAAAATTAGACAATAATTATTTACATGTATAACTAATGTAATCGCATTTACAAAATTTGCTTCTACTTATTATTAATATACAGTTACAGCTCAAAGTGAGCACTAACATTCTAGTTAAATTGTGTTTTAAAAATGATTACCATATTGAAAAAAAACAATTGGTATAATTTATATATAAACATATATTGTTTTATTATAAGGCCACATTAAAACTAAAATGTATTTTTTTCAAATTGATTTATTAAAAACTCGATACTGGTTTTAATAGCAAGAGAAAGGAACTGAATTGAATTAAATATGTACACATTAATTTTTTAATGTAAGTAGTATTTGTTGGCCTTTAAATTTAATATAATTTATCTAACATTTTATCGAATAATGTTCTTTAATTTGTATTAAAAATCATAAACATGTTAACACAATCATGACGAACTTAAATTAACACAAATAAACCGTAACTTACATCGTAATTTAATCTTACTTTAGGCATTATTGATTATATAGCCAGTAATAAATTGCAATGAAATAAAAATAATTATTTACTTTGCAAAGCTATCGTCAGTTGTTACAAAATGGTCACCATCGAAATAAATACGTTTGTGTGAGCTTACTTTGTATTATAAAAAATGTGAAAATTTCATACAGTATTATTATATTAATTTTTTATATCTTTTTACATGTTCATTACATTTACAAAAGGTAAAACTTGTATAGACTTAATACAATGAACGCAGTTAGATGTGGTCGACTAAAACTAAGCATATGTAACCGCATTGGTTATGAAATGAACTATTTGCATAGCTACTTTATAACCATGCACAATGAAAATAATGCAAATAAAACTGATTATAATTGTAATGTAATGATAATAATTAATTGTTTATTGATGACAATAATATCAGACAATCTTAGGTATACTGTAAATATTTAATATCAAGTTAAAACATTTTAGCATGAACGTAACTATTTATCAATGTTAATATAAGATGTTAATATCATTTTATGATATTTTAAAATAAAAAATATATCACAAATGGTTATTTTTATTATTAATAAAAAAAATGTTAGCTAACCTATATTGAACTTTTAGCGTTATTTGCATGATACTAAATATAAACTAATAATCTGCTAAGAATTCGTTTTTATCTGTCTGTCGGTTTGTATGTTAACATATTTTTTTGGCCTTATTTGTCTACGACATGGTGAACCAATGCTAAAGAAACTTAAACGGGAATCAAATGAAAGAGCTCAATCCTTCCACAACCGCAGACACGCCGGCGTTACAGTTAACAATGGATTTCTTAGAAATTTAATTAATTTCTTAGAAATTTATCTGGAGATGTTGAGCGAAACGTAGTAAACAAATTAACGTCATTGTAAATCCAATATGTGGGACTCCCAAAGATGACGAACTATGTATTTTATACGCACCCTCGTGATAAGGATATCCAATGAAAGGATTTGCTGAGAAGAATACAAATATCTTAAAAACAAAAAAAATAATTAAAATTTTTTTAAAAACAAACTTGTATGTAAATGCTCTATATCTGTGTAAATAAACCAGAAACAAAATGTTTGAAAATAATGTTTTTTATAAAATAGGTAAATCTCACGACAAGCTTTTATATCAACATAAATTATGTAATGTAATAAATCCCATCAGGGTTCGATTTAATTTAAGCTTTAAATTCTTTTTTTAGGGCTTTTCGATAAAAGCTTATTTTTTTAAATGATTATTTTTTTATAATTATTTTATTTAAGATAAATTTTATTTGTAAATTATATAAGTAATCGGCCCTGTTTTGGCCCTGAAGCAGTTCATTCTATACTACTATATAATAAGTAATAAGTTAATTTGTATAAATGGTAAGCATGGACGAATTGTGGTTAATTCGTTCATGATGGTAAGTAATCTTATAATGATACGTGCATCGGACAAAAACAACATTTTTGTGGATAATCTAAGAAGTGAAGAAGAAAAGAATATACTAAATGCAAAGTTTTGAATTGTAAACAAATATAATCGTGTTACATAAGTAAATAAATGTTATATTTCATGGGGAAAAAGGGGTTCTGCCATTTATACACCTATTTTAATGGCATTTTTAAATATGTAGTGTATGTACTATAAGAGATTTAAAAAAAATCTATCCCTGATGTAGTTTTTATTGTTTATTTTGAAATAAAGAATGTTATGAAATAATGAATAGTCAGTAGTTGGGTTTATTGTATAACAAGTAATGAATCATTAAATAGTCAAAGTTTTCGCATTCCATAATTTTATGAAATAACAGTTAACAATGAAATCCCGATTGTCTGTCCTGAAAAGTATGCCCGTGAACACGGCTGGTTCCAAAATCCAGGGCTCGAAAACCCGTTCAATTTTTAAACTGGTTTTACCCGGTGAAAACCCGGAAAACAGTTTTTGACGAATTCTATGATCAAAAATTAATCGGTTATAATAATAATCGGAATTGCATAGAAGAAGGATGACATGTGTGTTTCTGGAATTAAGCAGTTTATTTTGATATAAAAACCTCAGCTTAATCTTTCTCTAAGTAAAACCGTTAACCATTGTTGTTACGGTTTACTAAACTGTTCGTTTTGTTGATTAATGAACGAGCGATGTACATATTAACCATAAGATTACATATTTTTAAAACCGGTTCCAAGTCCTACCGAAATCTATTAAACAATAATAGTAAAAACTCTTTAAAACCTTTAAGCTTAAAAATATAAACGTAATTTTATTAAAAGAAATTTTTTTTATTAATTAAACAAATAAAAACAAAAATATGGACAGAACGTCCGTTGTATATACTCATATAGAAAAAAAAGTCGAAATGGGAATAAATTATTTTGCTACTTATATATACATTATACAGGGTTATTTT